GGTAAAAACCGTTGGGATATTATTATTATTGGTTTTTTGCAGTGTTACGATTTGTCCATTAAAAATTTTTACAAAATTCTCTCAATGTGGCTCTTTTGACTCATTTTAAGTACACCATCTTGCTGATTACAGTCAATTTTTGCTCCAAGATAATATCGTAATGGGCCACAATCAGACATTTTAAAATTTTTTTCCAACTTCTGTTTTAAGATCTTCAATGACTTGCAAATCGTTTCCAGAAACGAGTAATCCACTGGCAAACAGCGCTATGTGATTTTATAATAGAAAGCCATAAATTTGAAAAAAACGACTACGACAACAAGTAACATTTAAATTGAATCTTTTTTATTATTACCTGAAAATTTGGGTAAATAAGAGCCTTATAAAATGATAACATAATATAACATGACATAAGACAACATCAACAGTCTATACGACCTAAAGCAGTTTTCTAAGTTCATCAGAAGATGGATACTTTTGAAAGTTTATAAATAAGTATGATAGCGACTTTTGGAAGAAGAGTTAACATTTGATGCTGAAACTAAAAATCGAAAAAATTTTACATAGAGCACTTTGCAAGTGGACTACTCAAATAAGAATGTCATCGACATACAAAATTAAATAAAGTGTATAAGAGTCTTCATCAAAATTGAAAAACTGTTGATATACTTGATAAAATTATAAAATTATAATTTTGATAAATGAACTGTCAAACTTTGTAGGGACATCTATTTAACCAAAGTTTATCACGTTATCACGATCACGATTTTGTGGATAAACGTATTAATTTCAGCAAAATTCAACCCTGACAGACTGCCAGGTTGTTGATTTTGCTAAGAACACATAAAAAGCAAATTAACAAAATGGACGAGGTAAGAATGAAACGTAACTAGCCAGATAAGTTAAATAATAAACAATTTTGTGCAATTATTTACCAAGGTGCGTTCATGAAAGAATGCGGATAAATTGATAAATTTAGCAACCTATCCCCTTATCACTTTAGATGAAGACCCATTATATGTTTTACCAAATTTAAAGTACAAACAATAATCATGTCATAATCTGACAAAAACAAATTACATTTTTCGTTCCAGCATCTAGGACTTTGCTTCAAACCATACAGGGATTTCTTAAATTTACATACCATGTCTTGTGAAGCTTGCAGTCCATCTGGAATTTCCATAAAAATCTCTTCTTTTAATGTACCATACTAAAATGCAGTTTTTACATCCAACTGATGCAGAATGTAACCCTTCTGAACACTTACAGCCAGTATAATACCAACAGTAGTCAACTTTGCATATGTTTCCTCATAATCTACACCAGCCTTCCGTAAAAATCCTTTTACAACTAACCTTGCTTTATGACTTACAGGATTTCCATGAGCATCCTCTTTTATGCGGAAAACCCATTTTGATTTTAGTAGCTTTACATTCGGCGGACGTTTAACTAACTCAAATAGTTGTTGTTTTCATTTGAAGATTCACTACGAAGTTTATGCGGATATATAAATTCATTGAAACGGACATCTCTTGCAATAACAATTTTTCGTTTGCTATCATACCAAAGCCTATACCCAGCGGGTGTTTTCGTTAAATTAATACTTCGGCATGGACTTCTGTTAACTATATAAGTTGCAGTAAGAGCTGCTTCACCCCAAAATGACCTTGGAGTACCACTTTCAAGAAGCATAGATCTTACTTTTTCCACAAGCGTTCTGTTGAACCGCTCAGCAACCCCATTCTGCTTTGGAGAATATGCCGTTGTGCATTGAATTTGAATTCCTTTTTGTTTGAAGAAACACATTCCCTTCTTAGACATATATTCACGTCCTTGGTCTATAATTAACATTGCAATAGGTAGGTTATGCATTGATTAGACTACAGCTTCATACTCGACCAGCTTGTCGTAAACTTCGGACTCCTTTTTTTATTAAATATATAAACGCGAAATGACTAAAATCATCAATGAAGCTTACAAAGTATTTGAATTTATCCCAAGTCAAAGGATCGAAGGGACCGCATACATCTGAATGAATCCTTTCTAGCAACCGTGATGATGTTGGACGATTGCCATTAAATGGAGTTCGGCACTGCTTCCCTTGAATAATACATCACAAAAACCAACTGGTTTGTATTGTTCTAAGCCGCGAACTATTTCATTTCGAACGAGATCTTGAACTGAATTGTCACTTGCATGACCCATCCTCTTATGCCTCAAATTGCTTTGATCAGTTTTGCTCAAGTTGGACATCTGTATAATTACAATTTTGAGAATTTTTTGACGGCCAGACAACGCTGACGCTTTTGTTTAGGTATGTTCTCCAGAGAACGCTGCGATCGTGTCGTTTTCGGTTTGCCCATCCTCGCGATCAACACGTTTAGCTTCTTCAGCCAAAAGCCGCTGCTTTGCCAGATCCAACGTAAGATCCGCTTCCCTCATATTTTCAAGAGCCGTTACAACAGGATCGAATATGTCTGGTAAAGTTACAAATAATTGTGCAACGAGATCATTTTCGGTAACCGTAGCCCCAGACGATTTTAGCTTACGGATAAGCTCATCGAAGCTAAGGAAATGCTTTCGTAAGCTCTCATTCCTTTTCATCTTTAAATTTGATAATTGCTTCCGTATCAACGTTTGACTCGAAACATATTTCTTTGCAAAAGTGCATTCCAATGCTGCCCACATTCCTTGGAAGTCTTCTTCTCTCGCACGTATTCCAGGTATTCATCAGCAATCAAGCTGACCAAAACTGATTTCGCCTTCTTATCCTTCTTGCTGAACTGCTCGATTAAGTTCAGCTCCGCAGGAGGAATCCCCTTTATTACATCAAGGAGATCCAGTGCATCTAAATGAAGCTGCACGCGAAAACTCCAGTTTCAAAATTTTCTCCATGAAATTGCAAAATTCCATAGGACGAATCCTTTTTGCTATCGCCCATAACCTCTTATAATTTAATAGTTTTAGCAGTGCAGAATTTACAAATTTATTTTTAAAATGAACAAATTTACAATTAGTTTATATCATCGTATATACTTACAAGTATGGAATCCTATGCCCCTTTTTGTCTATTCTCTTTCTAACAACGGACGTGCCTGCCAAACAGCGGACGTGCCTGCCAAACTGAAAAGCATGATGGCGGCAGTGTTTGACAGGCACGTTCGACGATGCGAACGGCAATGGAAGGTAAGAAATGGAAGATGGATGACATGAGAATGAAATAATTATGAAATAGCAGAATGTCGAAGCAAAAACGAATTTGAGAAATGTGACAATGCGAATGACGTTAAATGAAAGAAATGTAAAATAGCGAAATGTCGAAATAGAAGAAATAGATGACAGGCTCGTATTCAAGGGTTTCGTGAAACAAAAAGTGTTGCTGTGTTGCGCCATAAAATATTTAAATACTTTTTTAATGTGGTTAAATTGAATCATACGCTTTTTTAAT